GGGGGGGGGGGGGGGGGGGGCATGTGGCTATTTTTAGAAACATTCATGGTTCACATCCTACTTCCCGGAATCACAGTACTCAAACTTTCCAAGGGTTGACCAGCCTTACCAAAAAGGGGGGGAAAGTGTCCCAAAAATGGATTTAAGCGTTTTTTGCTAACCTAAAACTGTATTTGCTTAAGGCATTCTGGTCAGCGTCAGGTCCACCCCAGGAAAGGGGTTTGAGTGCGCCAACCAACCCCGTCCTTGTAGGTCCTTGTTGGTTCGGAAAGAGGGAGGTGAGCTGCAGGCGCGCGGGGCGCGTCTCCACTGGCCCGGGGGCTTCATCGGAAGGGTTTCTGGAAAGGGAAATGAATTCTCTGAGAACCGCTTGCCGTCGGAGCTACGGGGGGCGGAAGTTTACAGCACACAGGGTTCAGAAGAGGCGGGCGCCGAGTCGCGTCTGTGACGGGAACACCGGGAGGGTCAGGGCGGCGGGGCCCAGGGCGCCGCCAGAGTCCAGCAGAGGCGAGCTGCCATCGGCCCCCGAGTGCTCTGACTGAGACCGGCCCCGGGCGGGAGCCGCGGACAGGCGCTCAGGGCGCCACCGCCCGCCAGGTCATCCCCGGGCTCCCCACAGGAGTACCCTCAAACGCCGAGGAGTAACAGGGAAAGTTCGCAGACGGGCGCACAATGCCTGGGTGCCGCTAAGAGGACCCCTCCATGGTCTCGATCGGATCCCAAAGTTAAGATTCAGCCTTTCCGAGGGCTACGTTGTCCACCATTAAAACATGTCTTTCGCTTCCAGTTTAAAAACTGGATGCGGGTTTTAGGGCCACCTGCCAAACCACCGTGGGCACCTTGACCAGTTGTTTTGTCGGAGGGGAAATAACAATAACAAAAACTCGACATCTGCCTGCTCACATACTGCAATCACGGGGAAGAAAGAACATTTATTTCAAGACAGTGCGGGGAACCCAACAGTAAAAACTGCGCCGTTGGCTGACCCGCAAAGTTCAGTGTCATTGCTGACTGAAGTCACCCGCGATGCTTCTTTTTGCCCTGGTGCGTAGTCCTATCCTAGTGGAGCGACAAGTATAGCCTGGAGCCTCTCAGTCGAATAATCCAAACGAAGATGACGGTTACCAGAATAGTCATTAATAGTAAAAGCCAGGGACCCGTCCCCGCAGCCCATCCGCCCGATCGCCGGCCCAGACCTCCCGCGGGCACTTACACTGCACAGGGCCGGAGAGTCCCACCATCCGCTACCGGGTCCGAGCTGCAAATAAAACTTCCCGTCCTCTCGATCGGCCAGCGGAGCAAAGGGG